CCATGCCTGGGATGTCGTCACCGAACCTGCAAGGAAAGAGGGATTGTCTGGCCTGACCCCAGGCTGGGTCCCCCCCATCCCAGGGCCCTTCCCCACTCACCCCTGCACCCCCTTTTTGGGGGGTTTGCTCTTGAACTGCCTCGTCTGCCTCTGCTTGAACTTGGGGGGTCCCTTGCGGGGGGTGGCAGGACCCCCGGTCACCCTGGTGGCGGATTTGAGCTCCAGCTTGGGGGGCTCCAGGCTCATGGCTGTGTGGGGCCGGCAGCCCCGGCTCACGGCGTTCCCTGCGGCTCCGGGGATGGCTCCTCACGGCTGCTGGAGGGAAATGGGGGCACCAGCTTCTCCTCACACCCAGTCCCTGATGGGCTTTGCTGACAATGCTGACCCAGCTGGGGAAGGGCATCCCGGGGGGCACCAGAGCTGCTGCTGCTCCTTCCTCCCTTGTCCCCCACCCCAGAGTGGATGTGATGGCTGGGGATCCCTCAGGACCCTCCCAGGGCTTGCCCCAGGCCTGTGCCAGGGTCAGCAGCTGTGGGAAGGGGGAGCAGAGGATGGCCTGTGGCACCAGGAGTGGGAATTTGGCAGCACAAGCCTGGCTCTGTGATCAGGAAGATCCCAGGATCATGGGACTTGGCCCTGCTGCAGAGATGGACACAGCCCTGGGAGCAAGGATCCAACCCAGGGAGCTGCTCCTGGATGTTCCTGGATGCAGGAAGAGCAGGAAAACAGCCCCATATCCCCCTGCCCCCCGCCCAGACACCCCTGACTCACAGAGTCCTGCGATTCCCGATTCCAGAGCTGCCCTGCTCCTGCTGTCCCGTGGTCCAGAGATGCTCTGGGGGGGCTTTTGGGGAGGGAGATTTATCCTGCCTGGGGGTAATAGGATTACTGACCTCCCTTCTTTCCCCAGGGTAATCCAGTGTCCTTCCCCTGTGCTGCTGGGGAGGAGGGGGCAGGATTAGCCCTGACTGTGCTGGGTGGGCAGTGGATCCCACGTGGGGGGAATCCTGCCTCCCCTCCTGGGCAATTCCCATCCCAAAGAGCTTTCCCCAGTGTTCCCTGATTCCACAGGAAGCGCTGGGACCCCCATTCCAGTCTCCTGGGGGTCCTGGTCCCGGCCAGAGAGGGTCTGGCAGCCCCTGTCCATGGCTGGTGTCACTCCAAAGCTTCCCTAATCCAGCACTAAAGCAATTAAAAACGGAATAATCTCGGCACACTTTAATTGAACTTCAGCCCCTGCCACTAATTGCAATTAGTTGGGCTCCTACAAATAGGATTAAAGGGATCCAGGAGTGTTTTCCACGGAGAACCACCTACTTCCCTGGCAGAGAGCAGAGCCTGGCTGTTAATTGGGGTTCATTAGTGAGTGACACTCAAGTGGCTTCCTGGGGACTTTGTCCCGTGATGATATGGGGGGGTCTCAATGGCTGTGACTCCCCCAGGATGGAGGGGAGGGGTTTGGGACAAGTTTATCGGGAATTAAGATGAAATTGAGACTTGGAAAACACCTTGGAGAGCAGCGTGGCAGGGTGTGACACCAGGGACAGTGTCCTTGACAGGAGGCTGCTGCTTCCCACGTGCTCCGTGCCACACGCTGCCCCCCGAGCCCTCCCCAGCGCCAGGGCATGGCCAAGGTGCTGAAAATCCCCCCAAGGTGCTTAAATTCCAACTAGGAGCACAGGAGGAGGGCTGGGGGGCCGGCCCAGGCTGCCCTTGGCAGGGATTTGCCATGCTGGGGAGGGCACAGCGTCCAGCTCTTGGGAAATCCGGGGCTCAGGACAAGCCTGAGCCACTGCCTGTCCCCAAGGGCAGCTCCACGCGAGACGGGAGGTGACCCAACCTCGTGTGACACCCCTGGGATCCCGTGCTCAGCACACAATAAACCATAAATAACCCAAGTCCGGACCCTGCCACCCCAGGGCTATCCCCCACCGTTGTGGGGGGCCTGGGGGAGGCTCAGTCCTTCCTGGCACGCAGCCTGATCTCCATCCTGAGGATCATTTTGATGTTCTCGTCCTCCACGTGCTGCTCCACGGCTGCCAAGGCCTGGGCTCCGCCGTCCCGGTGCCGCTCCAGCAGCTCCTCCACGTAGCCCACCCAGACACAGTTGGGGCAGCCGGTCCCGCAGCAGTGG